GACCCCTGTAGTTAATTGTCAAGGGTCGGACTCTGACCCTCTCCAAGTTACCCTGTAGGTGCGGTCTTTGAGGTATGAGGTGAGGAGGGAAAGTGCAGTGCCTGAAACTCCAAGTTCTTGGAGAGTGCGAAGGAGGATCTGATGATTCACCGTGTCGAATGCAGCAGACAGGTCCAGAAGGATGATGACAGAGGAGAGGGAGGCTGCTTTAGCAGTGTGCAGTTCCTCAGAGACAGCAAGGAGAGCAGTTTCTGTTGAGTGACCTGCCTTGAAACCAGACTGGTGCGGATCCAGAAGGTTGTTCTGATGGAGATAACAGGAGAGTTGTTTAAAGACAGAGCGTTCAAGTGTTTTAGACAGGAACGGGAGGAGAGAGACAGGCCTGTAGTTTATAACATCAGACGGGTTGAGTGGGTTTCTTTAGGAGAGGGTTTACTCTTGCCTCCTTGAGACTGTTTGGAAAGTGACCAGAGGTTAGAGAAGTGTTGATGAAATGGGTGAGAAACGGTAGAATATCAGGAGCGATAGTCTGAAGGAGGTTTGAGGGGATAGGGTCCAGAGGACAGCTGGTAGGACGGGCAGAGGTAACGAGGGTAAGAACCTCACTTGGAGAGAGAGGGGAGAAGGAGGTCAGTGTGTGGGTGAAGGGAGGGTCTGGTGACCAAGCGGTGAGTAAAGGTGAGTCAGAAAAAGAAGAGCGAATATCATCAACCTTTTTTTCAAAGTGGTTAACAAAGTCGCTTGACAGAAGGGGGGAGGGGCTTTGGGGGGGTCCAAGAGGGTGGAGAATAACCCCTCTTTAATGGTCACACAGCGCACACAGTGAAATGTGTTCTCTGCATTTAACCCATCCTAGCACCAGGAGTCTAGTACTAGGAGCAGTGGGCAGCTATTGTACAGCGCCCGGGGAGCAATGGGAGTGAGGGGGGTGTCTGGTGCCTTGCACAAGGGCACCACGGCAGGGCAGGAGGTGAACTGGGACCTCTCCAAGTAGCAGTCCACACTCCATATTTTAGGTCAGGTCGATGGTTAGAACCGGCGACCCTACGGCTCTCAGTCCAAGCCCCTACTGACTGAGCCGCTGCCGGACTACACTGTCTGATAACTTTATGCTATATTGGTGAAATTTAAAAGCAAAGATAGTCTCCAACACGCCACCGGTTTACACTTAAAAATACCCTGTTATGCCCGTTTTTATATGTGTATGTTGTGCCTGTACTTTAATATTCAAAATGAAAACCCAGAAAGTATAATGGCGCCTCTTTTTAAAGCTTTAAGAGAGGATCGTTTTTTGTCATCCTAAGCTTTTCTCCTTTCCCTTAATGTCCTTCAGCCAAATGTGGGGGTTCCCTCCAAGTGTTGGACAGCAAAGAGGGTGAGATCAGCAGTTCTACGTACCGCAGCTGGTCGTTCCACTATGGCTCTCTGTATGACTGCTGGGTCATCAAGGGCTCGGAAGAAGAGCCCATTGTTCTCAGGTAAAGAGGCCCCGAGGGAGTTTGAAATACCAGAGACATTATTAGCTGTGAATCAGAGGCAATGTGGAAAGTGTTGAATGTCTTAACTTGGCGAATCATGTCTGGGGTTAAGATGTATTATTATGAATGGCCTAGCAGTGGGAAGTAGAAACTCTTTATTGATAACAATCCAATGGGAAGTTTATTAAAGACTCACTGCATCTACTCGTTGCATTTTTATGAAACTGAGGTTGTGTGTCTCTTCTCAGCTTTTCCCAGTTTGAAACACGGTGTAGGAAGGAATGGGTGTCGCTAAAATCATCAGCTGGCGGCGAGGCGATTGTACTCTGCGGCTCCAAGCTGCCGCAACCAATGGAGTTCCCGGGGGGAAACATTACAGTGATGCACCACTTCCTTCCGCAACGGTACCCTGTGTCGTCTTTCCGCTTGAACTACGCCAGAGGTACGATAGCAGTTTTTAAAAGAAAAAGGAAAATGTTTATCTCAGAACAGCAGCAGCTTTGCATTTGGCTGCAAATTCCAGTTCTACTTGTGGTAATGCAATCTTAGTTTCTCTCTTTTTATCTTTCTACACCCACAGACTATGATGAATGCCCAGTAAGTTCTTTCGAGTGCCCGGGGGGGGGCCGCTGCATCCCTTTCTCTTGGCGCTGTAACGGCCAGGTGGAGTGTCTAGGTGAAGGTGCGGGCCAGGGCGACGATGAGCAGGGCTGTGAGGCAGAAGAGGAAAACCTTGAGCCAACAAAGCATGGCCTCACACAGGCAGAAGAGACTCACACGGAGAGTAACCAGGACCGGGACTCTGACAAGCCTTTCCTGGTAGATAATGAGTCTGACCTGTGGGAGCTGCTGAAGGAGAGGGAGGAGGAGGAGGCCAGAGTGGATCGAGTGGCGGCTCACACCCACAGGCAGCCCGCGGTGACGCCCACTCCCATCGAATGGCCCTGCGGAGGGCTCCTCCAGACCTTCTACGGGACCTTTTCCCCACCTGCCCTCCGGGGCCCCCCGCTGCTCTGCGTCTGGACTCTGGACCCTCAGGACTCGAGGCCCCTGAGACTGGACCTGCAGCAGCTGGTGCTCGGACGCGGGGACAGACTCTCCGTCTACAACAGAGAGAAAGGCAAAGGAGACATTATTAAGATTGTGAGTTCCTTAAAGTAGGAGATGTACCAAAATGTTATACGCTGGAGCAGGAATGAGTCCTTAACCCCAGAAATGAGTTAGCATTTACCACTTCTGGTTCCCTTGCTTTAGAGCAGGGGTCTCAAACTCAAGGCCCGGGGGCCAAATCCGGCCCGCGACTTCATTTTCTGTGGCCCCGCAAGAGCTTGCAAAGAATATAATACGTTTATTATACGGTTACATGCCACTTTACAGAAGCAGGTTGCCCATAAACTACATGACCCACAATGCATCTCGTTTTGTGACATGCGCACTGAAGAGACTCGCAATTATTTGCCCTGGCCTTCTGCTTTCAGACGTAGTAAAACAAAAAAATGAGAAAACAAAAAATGATGAACTTGAGTTTGACACCCCAGCTTTAGAGTCAACTAAATGTATTGTTGATTAAAAGCCTGAAGCTTAAGAGATGCTTGGTCTACGACATACAATAAGTCAGTAATACCACACAAGGCGGGAAATAAAAAGTGTCTTATTTAGACTTCTTAATATTATAATGCCGAGAAACTAGCCACCTTTAGCTTAGCGCCAGTGACAAACAGCCATATAACCGTGCTGAATTTCGTTAGCTTTTTACTTCTGGCAATTGCATTTACGCTTCACCTTTTTTTTTACAGTTGTGTTAATAAGTGGAGATTATCCTGGTTAACAAAACATAGAAGTATCATTAATGTACATTACGTCATATATTTTCTGCAATATTTCAAAATCCAATGAAAAAATCCTATTGCTTTTTGTGTGATGTGATGCTTACTTCTGGGTTGACTTAAATAAAAAGACGACATCACTGCACCACTATATTAGAGTCTACATAAAACACTATTTAAAAAGGGCTTTGGGCAACATGACATTAACCTCCTGCGCTTTGACAGATCACCAGCGCCTCTAATTACAAATCGGTCCAAGTGGAGTCCCACACCGGCCTGCTGTCGATGACCTACGAGACTCTTCCCGAGTCGGAGGGGAACGGCTTCAACGCCACGTTCCACGTCGGGACGTACTGCCCCCCCTGGGAGGGTCGGTGCGGGGGGGCGGCGGGAGGGTGCTTCACCCAGGAGCAGCGCTGCGACGGGAAGTGGGACTGTGCCGAGACGGGGAAGGACGAGGAGGGTTGCAGAGGCTGCAGCCCCAACCAGTTTGCGTGCGGATTGGCAGGTCAGAGGTCAGTGGCGTCCAGTCGCCTCGCCGGGATACCGGTGTGCTACCCGGTGACGGAGAGATGCAACTACCAGCTGTACTGCGCTGACGGCAGCGACGAGAGGGACTGCACCGTGTGCCAGCCCGGGACCTTCCACTGTGACAGCGACAGGTTAGTCTGTGTGTGTGTCAACATGTCCGTTAAAGTTTAAATCTTCCGGTCAAAATGAGAAAAGTGCCGGTCAAAGGTGTTTTTTGTTATTTATTGAGCTTTAAAACAAATTGATGTGATTCGATATTAAACAAACTAATTATAGTAGATTAACTATTCAAAAGTGTACAGTAACTTACAATAACACGGAAATAATAAACGGAGCGCTCTCTACGTGTGATATTCGAACCAGAAGTGTGTTTTGTTCGCTCACCGCTGCAGGTGATCATGCAGAGCTGCGTGTCGACTCGTCAGCAGCAGCTGATCTCTCTCTCCCGTCAGATTAGACTTTACTCGCGTTTATGTCCATAGGCACAACNACGGAGCGCTCTCTACGTGTGATATTCTAACCAGAAGTGTGTTTTGTTCGCTCACCGCTGCAGGTGATCATGCAGAGCTGCGTGTCGACTCGTCAGCAGCAGCTGATCTCTCTCTCCCGTCAGATTAGACTTTACTCGCGTTTATGTCCATATCGATCAGATCTAGCTAGTTCTATCTAATGATAGGACTACCTAATGATAGGACTACCTGCTTATTAAAAGACACCTAAACAATTAGCGTCGCTATGCAACTGGGTGAGGCCGCAAAGTATAGCGCAGCATTATGCATTTGTTTACATGCCCACCGGAACCCCGAGGCATTACCAACAGATCAACGCACAATCAACCCATACAGCACATCTCTTTCTCCACATTAAGTGTGAGACATTAGAATTGACTATTCTTGTCTGTCACATACTCTTTTGTCTGTCACATAAGTGGCGCAACTGGGGTGGGTGGGTGGGTGGGTGTGTGTGTGTTGCGCGCTTATCTCCTTGGCTCAGAGGGAACAGCTGTCTCGTTTTTATTGCAGTAATCTGTTGATTTATTTCCGAGATTAATGGATATCATAATCCAAGGTCTTTCAAATAGGTAGTTTGGTCAGTNNNATGGATTTTCCTGAGAGCGATCCATAGTGATCAAGGGCATGCTAACTTTGAGCCGGTCATTTCTCCGTGAGCTTCTCGGCTGTCCTGGCATCCTGAAAAGTCACACACAACCCCCTACGACCCCATGGGCCATGGACTTGTGGAACGTTTCAAACCTGCACCCTAGGTGGTATGATTCGTGCATTGCCGCCTGAGGAGAAAAGTGAGCTGGCCAAGGCGGTTACAGACCCTAAACATTCATGTACAACTGTACCAGCCCCACGAGAACAACAGGAATATGCGCCTTCTACCTCATGTTTGGCCCGTGTCCCACCTCGCCTACGTGTTGATGTGCCTTTTTGTACAGTCCTCTTCTGCCTCTGGCTGTGAATTGAGTTACCGACCAATATGTAGCCTGTCATTGCTGGTTGACTGAAAGAAGCAATCGGAGTCGGCTCAGGCTCATGCTGGTAAGGAGCAGCGCAGACATGCACCCCCGCCTGCCACAACAGGAAAATGAAGGCTCTACCATATGAACGTTGGTCCACGGTGGTTAATGGCCAACCAGGAGAAGACAGAGGCAAAGAAGAAGCTTGCCTGACCAGATGGGACTCTACTAAGCGTACACCTGTCCATGGACATGGTGTGTGTGAGAGAGAGTGTTGTGTGTGTGTGTCGGTGTGTGTGTGTGTGTGTGTGTGTGTGTGTGTGTGTGTGTGTGTGTGTGTGTGTGTGTGTGTCCGCCCGTCCCCTTGGCCCAGAGGGAACAGCTGTCTCGTTTTTATTGCAGTAATCTGTTGATTTATTTCCGAGATTAATGGATATCATAATCCAAGGTCTTTCAAATAGGTAGTTTGGTCAGTCAAAAACCCAAAGAGGTTCACTTGACTATAACATAAAGATGAGAAAAGTAGAACAAATCTTTATTTGAGTGGTTAGAAACTGAATTCTGCCATTTATGCATGAAAAATGTGTCCATGTGACAAAAGATTTTTCTAAAAATTGACAAATCTGTTTGTCTACTACTTAATTGCAACTCTAGTAATTATTTTATTAATTTCTTGACCTTGGGACAAACAGTTGACACCTCCAGCTTTAGATTATTTGCTCACTAGTTATGGAACTGAACATGTTTAAACTTTCAGAGCTCTAGGACTTAAAGCTACTGTTTGAAGTCTATCTGGAAGCCATTCAGCTACTTCTGTTTGGTTTCTGTCAAGTGAGCTCAAATGTTATGTGTCTTCCTGTGGTGAGGTGAGCTAAGTATCAGTGAGGGGTGTGTCTTGGTTACTGTGTAATGTGTGTGTGTGAGTCAGAGGGTGTGTGCACAAATGTCCCTATCTAACAGATTCTTCTGAAGTATGGGATTCAACTTTGTATTTTGAGGGTGTATTCAACAGTTGGGTTGAATTGACCACTCTTTAAAACATAGACAGTCTCCAAAAATAAGCGCTGACAATGTGCCTTATGTTTCCATTTTGAGATTTCACACACAGCTGACCTGAAAACATCCAGTAGCAATAAGGAAGTAGTTGTACACAACAAAACACACTTGTCTTGTTTTACAAAGGTAATAAATACATGGCCATTATAAAAACGAGGGAATAAATCATACGAGATAATGCAAAAACAAATGTAACAGTGCCTTCTTGCTTGTGAACTACAAACATTAGGGATTAACTTAATGTCTTACAGTTATATTATAGATTCAGAATAAAAAACGCATTACTGCAATCTTTTGTGCCCTAAGGCTGTTTTGAGATAGATGTGATTGTATTATAATGCATAGCTTTGTGATCTGCACATTAGTTTAATGTGTAACTGCATCTCTTACCTGAGTTATTCCTGGACACACACACACACACACACACACACACACACACACACACACTCACACAAACGGCCCTTTGTCCCGCATGCAGGTGTGTGTTTGAGAGCTGGCGCTGTGACGGTGAAGGCAGCGTGGACTGTAAAGGACGGGACGGACGAGCTCACTGCACCGCATCCTGCCACCGCAAGGTCATCACCTGCGGCAACGGGTAGGCAGCCTGGTCTGTGGGCTGCTTGGTCATCGCCATGGGCTGCACCTGTAAACTGTACTCGCTCAGACCAAGGGAGTACAGGTAACTTACGCTCTAACAACACCAAAGCAGACAGTCAGCCTGTGACTGAAGTCTGTTTGAGTTGCATACTACACTTAGCTGTGCATATCACAGACAAAAGCCCTTGAGCATTTAACTTACCATGTTTCGTCAATGTATGCAGGCAATAGGACTCTTGTGACTTAGAGTGGATAGTTATTGCTATAAATCTGAGGAAAGTGAGTCACAAGACTGTTTTCATCTTACTAGATTTCAATTAGTTGTTGCTATCGCATAGACAGACAACACTTATTAACACACACAACAGAATGTCTCGCAACAAAACAGGCCATTACACGCCGTAACTTGACTCCTTTAAATTGTAACAATAGTCAGCTTTCCACTTCGTATGCTGAAGTGTTTAAAATCAATATGTTAAGTAAAAAGTAAAAAAATCATGTATATTAGATGGACAAAGATAACAAACTAAGAGTTTGTACTGTAATCTATACTGTGCACTTTTTAAGTTCTTCAAATACATTTTTTTGTTTTTAAATGTGCCTGTATCATAATGTGGTCCTGTTTGTTCTGCAGCTTGTTTGCACCGAATCAGCCGTCAGGAAGGCGCCAGCTGATCCAGCAGCAGGCTCCGCCCTCCTACGGTCAGCTGATCGCTCAAGCGGCATCATCCTCCCCCGGTGGAGGACTGTCCCACAGGAAAACCCCAACGAGGTGAGAGTGAGTGAAAGTGAGAGAGTGTGAGTGTGAGGAGTGAGGAGGTGAGAGTGAGATGAGAGTGAGGAGAGAGTGAGAGAGAGGAGAGAAGTGGAGAGAGTAGTGAAGAGAGTGGAGAGAGTGAGAGTGAGAGAGAGAGTGAGAGAGAGAGAGAGAGAAGGAGAGAAGAGAGAGAGAGAGAGAGAGGAGAGAGAGAGAGAGAGAGAAGAGAGAGAGAGAGAGCAGAGAGAGAGAGAGAGAGAGAGAGAGAGAGAAGAGAGAGAGAGAGACAGCAGGAGAGAGACCCTTTTGTCTTGTGCTGCTACCTGATGGAACTCATTGTCATGTCACCCCTGGTGCTTTTGGAGCTTAGATGTGAAACGCTGTCAAGCGCGAAGAGACGAATGTTAAGGCCGTAGTTTTGTTTTATATGGTTGCAATGATTTCCTGATGCTCCGCTGTTCTTTTTGTTTTAAAGGACACCAATAGTCAAAATTTTTTTTAGTGGCACCCATGAAAGTACGATTACATCTTACCACAGTGGGATTTAAAGGCCGAAATAAAACACTTCCTAGTCTTCTAAAAGGAACCCATG